CCATACTGTCCCACACCTCATACTTGGTATCACTTCATTTTTTGTTTAATTTAACTTTTTTAATGACTCGTTGGGAGTTTCATATCATGCACCCAAATTCTGCTCTCTTCCCAGTCCCCCCGTATCTTCCCCACATCCCTGCCTTGCAACTCCTTCCCGTAACAAAAGGAAACAAATCAAAGTAAGGAAGCAAGCAAACAAAAGCAAAACAACAACAACAACAACAAAAAACATCAAACCAAACTAAAACAAAAACTGCAACGACAAAAAGAATCTCTTTGCTTCTATTTCTTTCCTGTCTCTCCAGCACTTCTTCATTCATCCTGGTGGTAATGGAGGCTTCCGCGTCCCATCAGTTTTATTGGCAAAAGTTCATTGCAATGAGTCGCTGGTCTGGTTCAAGGCATCTGGTTTCTGCTACACCATCATCACAGAATCCTAATTGGAACTCCTCTGGAGATCTTCCACAGGACCAGTCCCTTCACCAGCTCCAGCAGGTCCTAGATGGGGTAGATGCTAGGGTGGGTCAACCCAAGGTCAAGGTGTGGGTCTGGGAGGTAGCCACACTGGTTAATCTGGTCTCCAGAGGATACCAGCCTTGGGTGAGGTGTTAAAGTTAAGGGAAAATGTAATGAAAATTATTCAAATTATACTTATTATGAGTAGTTCTCAAACTTTCTAATGCTGTGACCCTTTAATACAGTTCCTCATGCTGTAGTGACCCCAAAAATAAAATCATATTTGTTGCTACTTTACAACTGCAATTTTGCTATAATCATCAGTTATAATATAAATATCTGAAACACAGGAAATCTGATATTCAACCCTTAAAAAGGTCATGATCCACAGATTGGGAACCCATGCTTTATATGTTCTAAAAGCTATGCAAAGATAGGCAATAAGCACAAATCTCAACTCAGTTTCCAGATATAAAAGCAACACTGAGATTTAAAATACACTAGACAAATTAATGAGACGTTAGATACCACCGAAGAAAACACTATTGAACTGGAAGGTACCACACAACTAAGAAGCTAAAATGAAAGACAAAGAGAACAGCAGTGAACTGTGAACTACTGTCCAATGTGTCAAGGTAGGATAAAAGAAATCTGAAGAACCAACAGCTGAAAAAAAAAAAAACAGACAGGAAAGGAATCAAATCTAATGCTGAAGCTCAAAGACACTGAGCAAACTTTAAGCCAAGACACATGAGGATCTACTAGGATACCATCATAAAACCAATCAAAACCAGTAATAAATGAGAAGTACCAAGAGTAAGGGGGAGTTGGGAGATGCTGAATAAGGAGCAACCAAAGCATGATGGTAGATATCTCATCAAGAACAAGTCAAGAAAGAAGAGAGTGGGCAATGGCTTTCAGAGAAAGAAAGAAAAACAAACTTGACAAGCCAAAGCTATGTGTAGTAAAAATACTACTCACAACTAAATATAAAACAAAGATGTTTTCAAACCTGAAAGCATTTATGATCAATATGTCCAAATACAAGAGTGCCCAGAGGCCAAAGAAGAGTGAAGCCAGATGGAAGGACAACTCTAGGAAAGGGATGAAGAACAACAGAACGGCAATCACTGCAATACATGCATGCTTTATTACTCATTATTTAATTATTTTCAAAAGACATAATTTACACAAAGTAAGGTTATAGCATTTCTAAAATATGTAAGTAAAATGTGTGCTGTATGTTTTGTGTATTACATATGAACAAATCTATTTAAAAACAAGACAATTAAAATTACAACAAAATTAAAATGTAACAATGGCTGTATAAGGACTAGAAGACTAAAGGGATAAAATGAAAACATATATATATATGTTTTCATATATATATGAAACTATATATATATGAAAATATATGTTTTCATATATATATATTTCAAACATATATATATATATATATATATATATATATATATATATATACTTTGAAACCAAGCCATGAAGAGTGAAAGATCTGTGCTATTAAACTCTAAAGTAGGGAGACAAGGAGGGAGAGAAGGGACACATACACACATGCACAGTGAGAGAGAGAGAGAGAGAGAGAGAGAGAGAGAGAGAGAGAGAAGAGAAATAACACAAAGGAGATAAAAATACTAAATCAACAACACAAAAGGACAGTAAAGAATAAGCATCAGAGAGGATAAATACAAATACAAACTAGCTAAATTATATCAATAATTACATATAGGAATGGTATACAGATTCCCATTAAAAGGCAGACAATGTCAGGTTGTATCAAAATAAGACCCAACTACTGTTTTCTACAAGAAATTCACTTTAAAGTAAGTCAAAAGGGAAAGAGAAGAGAAGGTATACTACGGCGTTAAGAATCAAAGCAAAGCTGTGGAGCTGAGGGGCTGTCTCAGGTGATAAGAAAGTCTGCTGTTCTCAGCCTGACACTGACATCTTTCCTGGACTCCCATGGAAGCCCATCCACACACAGCACATGCTCAAACAGATACTCATCTATACATGAACATAAAACCAATAATAATTCTTTTTTAAAAAGCCAATAGTGAACTGGCTAGATTAATAGTAGACAATAGATTCCAGGGCAAAGTATATTACCAAAGATAAACAATGCAAAATAATAGATGGGTCAAAGAAACTCAACTCTACATTTTAAGTACAGCATCCGAAGTATATAAAAAGAGTCTGCAAACTGGGCACGATGTACACACTTATCTCCACTATGGAGGCAGGAGAGCAGCAGTACAAAGTCAGCCTCAGCTATTTAGAAAGTTAGAGGGCTACATTAAAACAAAAATGGTAGCTGGGCATTGCGGCTCCCAGCTGTAGGAGACCAAAGCAAGATCACGTTGAGTTCAAGGCTAATAGTGAATTTCAAGTCCACCTTGTGTTACAAAGTAAGACAATACAAAATGCGAGTGAGTAGGGTGGGAGGGAGGAAAAGAAAAAGGGGAAAAGAGAGAAAATATGAATAAATACCTTCTTTCCTGAAATAAGTTGATATATGAACAGAGATAGGTTTGTCTGGCAATACGAAGGACTTGCAAACATACAGAGCAACACTAAGAGCTCATAGCTACAATCAGATTGAGAGCAATCTATTTCAATAGGGTTTTTTTAGTTAAATATTCTATACAAAAGATTTAAAGTAATCAAACTTGTATTAATCTGACCAGAATTAATCCCTGTATAACTTATATTAAACTATACCTTTGTATAACTTGTACCAAGTTTATCTAGATGTGTTATGCTATATAATCATGATAAGAATGACCTGTTAGGCCAGACAGAAGGCTCAGCAGGTAAAGGTGTTTGCCACCAAATCATACAAACAGAAATGAATGCCCAGAGCAAAGAGTGGAAGAAGAGAAGTGATTCCAGCAAATTGTCTTCTAACCCCCACAGGCTCTGCGGCAGTCATGTGCACAGGCACACGCAAACACAATCCACCTCTCAACACCAACAAATATTTAATTGGAGAGGACCAGAACAACATTTTAAAAACAAAAGTAATTAGTTGTTTACATGTTGAGTCTTCAATCCTTCTGCAACACTAAAAGTAGCTAGATCTAGCCCACTGTATAATGATGCTACACTCGTACTCTCATCAAATCATACTTCCAAGTAGGTGCATGTTCTACTTGACACTACTCGATACACAGAATTCTATGAGACTCTGAAATACACAAACAACTGGAATTTACAGTTTAAATATTTTAAAATAGAATACACTTACAGTTTAATAGTCAAGTAATATGCATATATTATGCTAAATTTTAAGTGGCATACATTTTGAAAATCAAGATTTTATACACCAAAAGGCTTGAAATAGCAGTTAAATGATACGCTGATGTGAATCATACTTAACGTCCAAGCAACTGGGAGGCTGAGTTAGAAAGACCATAAGATTTGGAGCTAGCCTGTGTCACCTAGTGAGATGTTACTGCAAACCAAAATAACAACAATACAAAAACACACTATTAAGACTTAAGTCCTTTTAAGAAATGAAATAATAAAGATAGAAAGTCTTGAATTCTAGAAGTAGTTTTCTCACATAATGGCTGAAGATGTAGTATTACTTTCCATTATGTAATCCCAATGTAAGCATTTATGTGACAGTTATAAAGGGTAGGAACCAGCATGCAGAGAATCAATAACAATATTGTAAAGCCTACAGCAAGGCATATAAACATGCTGTAGGAGACATTAACACGAGACTGAAGCAAATGATTATATTCTCAATAAACACATATCTACAGGATAATCGATTTCACACTTGCCCTCCCAGCTGTTTCCCACAGCTCAGATGGTAGAGCGGCAGCAACTGTTCAATACGACTGTGTATGAAGTGAGATCCTGCTACTGGGTAACAGGTATATACTCCTGTTTAAACGGCCATGGTCAATTCATGTAACAGCAAGATAATCGTGGGGTAGTCCATTCAAGAGATTCTTTAGTGTATTTCTACTTTAGAAGCTAATTTTTAACCAATTATTTATATGTCAGAGAACTCAAATTATATGCTGCCTTATTTCCAGATTTAAGAGATTTGTCATAATAAATATTTCTGAAATGTTAAATTAAAAGTTGTCATAATAGTTACTATGGAATAAATAGCAATTATGATTCATTTTAGGCAAATAAGCTCAAACAGTTAATAGTGCATACTTATACTACTGTTTTCCACAATGTTCATATCACTTGATAAGTTGCTAAAAATATACATTTGTAAAACTATTTCAAAAGATCTCACGAAACTTACTTAATAGCATGGAATTTTGTGTGACTGAGAAGTTATTTATATCTCTAAAGCAGTAGACTTGAAGGTGGTGATACACATTACAGATCCATAAAGGTTATTTCTGTTGTGTAATTGTAATAGTGAATTAAGCACACGCTTGCTATCGGTACATTATCTTCAGGAAAAGGTTTTTTGTTTCTTGTTGAGCATGTATCAGCCTACACCTATCATCTGTCATGTGACTACGGTTCAAAACGTGAAGTAGCACTTACGGCTATGTAGTACACTCTGGCCTTCTCCACCAGCAGCCAGTTCTTCTCCAGATCAAGATGCTTTTCCTTTTTGTAACAATTAGCAGCAGCAAGGTTTGCAACAAGAGACCTAAAAACCCAAGAAGTTTTAAAATGCATTTTATTTATAATAGGTTGTTATACAGAAATAAACAAGTTCTTTAGAGGCTGCTTTGCAGATGGTGGAGAGTGAGAGGATGGCTGATACCTATAGGCCAAGAGACAACATAACCAACCAAAGCATTACCTAAAATTCAAAGTCTGGTATATGAATTTCTTTTTAACTCCAAAATAAGGTTAACTTTTTATGTCTTAATACAATTCAAAATGCAGTTAAGATATAGGCTACTAGGTCATTCTGAAGTAGGGAATCTATATAAACCAAAATTTCATTCTTAAAGTAGAAAAATATCTTTATAAAAATAAAACCGAGAGACTATAATTAACTATTTAATTTCACATTTTAATAGCCCAATATGGGATTAATTTTATAACACATACATATAAACATAGACAATATTTACTGTGAGGAATATAGTTTGCAACTATAACATTTTAAGGACTGGAATCAATCAGAATCAGGTCCTTTAGCTAAAAACTCCTGGGCAGGATCATTTTATAACTGGAAAATTTAACCAGCATACTAGATTTAAAATTTAGCTATTAAGTGCCACTGAAATTGCTTAGTTTTAAATCAACAATTAAGTTTAATGAAATAAAAACTTATTTACAGTTCACATAAATATAAATCCTTCGTCATTCAGACCTAAGACCTATAAAATTATGTGGCATTTTTCATTATTAAAAAATTAAAAGAGTAACAATTATGACTTATAGAAAAATGACCTTATCGTTTGAGACTTTGGAGATGTTTAGTTCTTATACCTACAAAAAATTTTTTCTTACAAAACATTTACCATTCATCCATATTAATTTATTTCCGAATGATACATCTGTTTATATCAAAGTAAAAGCAGGAATATGTGTGGAGCCTCAAGGATACACTCAAATACAAATCACAAACATACAGAATCAGTACCATTCCTGTTGTTTGGTGCCAGGGGTTGAACTCAGCCCTCATTTATAAAACAACATTATTATGACGTAGGGAGTTTTCATTAAAACATTCTTTTTAACTTTTATTTTAAACAAAAAACTATATTTGAATTCTAAGTTTTACTTACTAGAAGCTGTCCAAAAGAAAAATCTAACTATTCATCACATTCCAGCCTCTCTATTATGAATTAGTGTCCCCAACTCCCCCTGCCCATGTCAGAGTTCTCACATCCTGTTTCTTAAATTCCAGACTAGGTCTCATGTATCCCAGGCTGAGTCTGGATGCCTGATATCGCAGAGAATGGCACTGAACTTCTTATCCTCTGACTGTACCTCCTGTGTGGTAGGGTTACAGACATAGGTTGTCACATCATGTTTCTGCAGTGCTGGGAATGGAATCCAAGGGCTGTGCATACCAGTACGTCACTCTACCAACTGTGTACCACAACCCCAGTCACAATCGCGTGAATAGCATGGGTCACCAAAGCTATAACGCAGATAGACAAAATTGAGTTCTTGACATCTGTAGTACCTAAAAGTTGTTCTTTAAAATAGCAATTTAGTATATAAAGACAATTTAGCAATTTTATTCTAGTCTTTGGGGTGTCAGAAGCAAAACTTGATCCATTTATCATTATTGGGGAAATCACACTGAAAGGATAAAGAGACAAAGCTCTAAGGACATCTGAATAGTGGATGGCTGAATAAACCAGCTGTCCAAACTAAGGCAGAGACCTGAGTTTTAATAATGAGCAATTTAATTAACTGAGACCTAAAGATAATCAAGTTCTCCTAATCTCTCTCTCTCTCTCTCTCTCTCTCTCTCTCTCTCTCTCTCACACACACACACACACACACACACACAAACAACACGTGAAAGGAAAGCTCTGAAAATCACTTTTGTTCCCTAATTATCCTTGAAAGTTCTTTGTAGGATATTTTATGACTACTGCCCACACTGATCCTCAGCACTGATTCTGCTGGAGGCAAAACGGAAGTCAAAATAAAGAAGGTAAGAAAGGGAATTGTCCTAACTTTCTTTCTATTTGCTGTGATAAACACCACAACCAAGAACAACTTGGGGAGAAAAGTGTTTATGTGGCTTACACTTTCAGGTCACCATCGAGCACACAGGGAAGGCCGTGGAGGAGCCCTGTTTACAAGCATGCGTCTCATGAACTGCTTTGTTAGCTTTCTGTACAACTCAGGACCACCTGACCAGGGGTGGTACTGCCACAGCGGGCTGGGTGCCCCCACACCAATCATTAATAAAGAAAATGCCCCATGGACAAGCCTACAGGTTCATCTGAGGGAAGCATTTTCTCAACTGGGGTTCACTTTTGACCAAATGACTCCAGCTTATGTTAAACTGGAAAAGCCTCACCAACAGAGGAAGGGATCAGGGTTGAAAAACAGCACAAAGGACGGAGGACAAATCACATATTCTAAGTAGGGAGGACACAGCCACGCATGGTGCACCTATAATCTTCACACTGTGGGCGACAGAAGTATAAGGAGAGATTCCAGTTTGACACTGGTTTGGTCTACGTAGCAAATTCCAGGCCAGCCAGGGCGGTATCAACAGACTGTCTCAAAACAAACAAATCAAACCACATACAAAGAAATGCAAAAATTTGTAGTCAGTCAAAATTTAAAGTAGGTAAACTCAAAGGATTCTATAAAACTCTAAAAAGACAGTGATTTTGTGTTTCCCATGCAAAGGACAGAGAAGGCCCTACTGGTGTGGCACTAATAATATTAGAAGCGTACACTGCAGGAATACAATAACGAGTAAAATCAAAGAAAGGCAGCCCTGAGAGATACGTCAGATGTTCACACACAGAAGAATTTCCTACTAAGTAAAGTTGGGAGACAGGAGGGCGGGGATTAACAATACTAGCCACCAGTTCTATGAATTTTTCTGCTATGTGGCCCAGGCTGGGAGACCTTCCTACTATGAACTGGGCTCAAAGGTTCGTGTGTTTGGATGTTTCTGCTCCCTACCCAAGATTTTGAAAAGGATTTGAAAGCACCTCATTGAAAGATGCAAAATGAAAAGCTTCTCATTTTAGTCCTTTCCGTGTCTGACTAGAAAAGTGACAGCAGGCAGCCCTCAATCCGTGGCATGCACCATCTGGGCCTCTCTGTTTTGCTTTAATATAGCATATTTTACTGTGGAAAATGTCATATTTAGTCACTCTCCAGCCTTGTGACCTGCTCTGGTTGTTTGACCCATCTCTTTTCCCGAGTGTCTTTTGTTGTCTGTTGATTTCAAGGATAGTAGTACCAATGAGCGTCTGTTGTAGAGCATCTCCAGGGCTCATATTACTGCAGTGTGAAGTCACTCTGCTATCTGTACAATAAAGACTTCTGAAATGTACTAAAAATCATGTTTGTATGTGTTTTTCTCCACTACCACTCCACATACAGGATCCGGAGAGCAAACTTGTGTCCTGTTTAGGCCTCTCAAATGCTGTGATTGTACAGGCATGAAATACGACACTTGGCTTGGTTGCCGACTGAATTGCAACACCGTTAGCAAGATTGGTGTTGTTTAGCATCAGTGGAAGCTATGTGGCACACATATTTCTATAAGCAGATTTTGATGTTCTGTTCCCAGACTATGCTGACAAGATAATTCTTTCTTTTATAAAGTGAGTTCAGCAAATTACAAGATGTAAAATCCCAAAGAAAACATTTTCGTTCCCTAGGTCTAATTATAAAAGGAGGAGACTATATTAGATAATCTCAAACTTTCATTGCAATAAGCCTTATGAATTTAAAAGGTCTAACAGAAAACAAACTTAAAAACACAAAAGGTGGCCCAGTGGTTAATGGAACTAACCTGATGATGCAAATCTGATGATTTGAATTTAATCCTGGGAAATAATATAAAGGCAGTAGGAGAGAAACAGCTTCACAAAGCTGTCCTCTGGCCCCCACATGTATACCATGCTAAGCACACATATCATAAAACACTGGGCTAGAGAGAAGGCTGAGCAGATAAGAGCACTTGCTATACCTACAGAGGATCTAGAATTTGGGTTCCCATCACACACACAGTAATTTACAACCAACTATAATTCCAGTTCCAAGGGATCTGACACCCTCTTCTGACCAGTATGGGTAGCAAGTACACATATGCTGTACACTCACAGACAAAACACTCACACATATAAAGTTAAAAAAGAAAACTAAGCTTGTAAATCATGTGTAAGGCTGGGTGATAGTGGTGCACACATTTAATGTCAGCACTCGGGACGCAGAAGCAGGCAAATCTCTGAGTTCAAGGCCAGCCTGGTCCACAGAGTGAGTTCCAGGATTGCAAGAGCTATACAGAGAAACCCTGTCTCAAAAAATCATTAGAAAACAAGACAAATAAATAGGAAATGCATGTACGATTTCACCTGTATCTATAACAACAAAACAGAACACATGAAGTTGAGAGGCAGAAATAATGTGTTGGGGGACTATGGGAATGGATTTTATCAAACATATTGTATATATGTATGGCATTCTTAAATAGTAAAAAAAAATAAACACATTAAGGTAAAACAAGGAAGAAATGTTTACTGAATATCAGAAATGATTAGCAACTATAAGCTGGGTTTTGTAAATGTGTACACAGCTTTGAGGGTAGGGTGCTCCTGGCTGATAATGGCTTACCTGTTGCCACCAGTGATGCATGCAGCGCAGGTTCCGGTTGGCTGCTCATTCTGCTCGTAGTAATGAGCATCCACATGTGCTTCAGCAGCTTTACTCTTCAGAATCTCCCCAAATTTATCTATCCCAATGCATCCAAAGAATGTTGCTGCTTTGTGGGGCTCCTGAATCATCCACTGAAAAGTGAGACCAGAAATGATGGAGTGAGTCAAAAACAGTACAGATAATTCAGGACTCTTGCCATGGATGGTGGCTTCAAAACCATAACAACCTTAGCATTTTACTCTACTAGATGAGGAATAGATGTAGAGTGGACCAGTTTAGTGGGGGAACAAGAGAAGAGTGTATTAGAAGTCAGAAGTTCAAATGCTATTTCTTTACAGAAAAATCAAAGTTCAGTGTCAATAAAATGAGCTAGCACAGCGTTTTCTGGAAAACACAGACCCCACTTTGATGACTGTTTCCATATCATATCTGCCCCTGACTAGTTGTGGTATTAACATGTCACTTGATACTTCAATCTTTCCCCCCCTAAATTTTTTGTTGTTGTTGTTACACACAAAAAATTGTAGCCCAGGCTGACTTAGAACACAGGCTAACCTCAAACTCACAGCAGTGCTCCTGCCTCACTCAGCATCTTTAATTCTGGGACTATAGACATGAACCACCATCTTGGCATCACTTAAACCTGTCTACAGCTTACTTCTGTCATCTGTAAAAATGGGGAAGTGATAAAAACATGCTTCATAAGGTAGCTGAAGACTAACTCAGATAACAAAGGCTAATGTATACGCGAAGCTAAGCTTAATATCCACGAAAAAACAAGCAATGGCTATCAGCTGTTATAATCAATATTTTTATACTTTTTGAAATAATTCATCCATAAATTATACTAAAACATGTCCGTGCTTAATACCATTAAAATGAGGAATACTAAAAGTTATGGCTGAGCATAGTGGTTTATGACTGCAATTCCAACACCTGGGAGATGGAGGCAGGAGAATCAGAAGCAAATTTGAGAACTGCTGAGGTTCTACGAGACTGTCTTATCCCTGCACCCCTCTCCTTCCCCAAAAGAAAGAAAAAGACTGAGGGTGGACTTGGTGCTCTCATCACAGAAGCTACTTTTTGAAGCAGAGTGCAATTATTTAAGGCAACAAACATACAATTGTATACTGTGACATGCAGAGCTAAAAATGAGACGTCTATATCATACACCTTATCTCATGGCTCAAGGATGTTTGAGGAACAGCATGTACATGATGAGAGGGCTGTTGTACACAAACACTCATGATGGCTATTACTGAGTGAATAAGACCAGCAGGCGCTCAAACCTGTCAAAATCGTAGTTCTGATACGGGAAGGGTTCATGAAGCCCCACCCCTATTTGAGGACCCAAGGGCAACTGATTGCTGTTGGGAGAGGAGCAGTCAGCTTTCTCTAGGGATGCTGGCTCGAGAGGCTGCTCAAGCTCTAGCAGATACATGGTCCTATACTCTTGCTTGTATGGATGAGAGAGAGAGAGAGAGAGGCAGGGAGGGAGGGAACACACATGGAGTGAGGGCAAAAAGTGGTAGTGAGTTAGGGCAGGAATGGGGGGATTTGATGAAAAAACATATGCATGCATGAATATTAAAAATTTTAAAGATAGAAATGTTAAAATTCTAACTACAAATCTCATCATGTCATTAAAGTGATTCTTATAAACTCAAGCATTTTTGTTATAAATGATTCATAATGGATTTCTGTTAATATGCATGGTTTCCTTTGATTTGAACTCTTTAAATTAACAAATTAGCTCAAGTCCCTAAGGCTTCTCATCTTTTATTAGTGGTTCTAAAGAGACCATCTTTCTTTGCTTCAAATATAGTTGTTAAAATTCTCCGTATATTATGTTAAAAAAAAAAAAGGTACCAACATGGGGGCTGGAGAGATGGCTTAGGATTAAGAACACTTGCTGAGGACCCAGGTTCAATCTTCAACGCCCACATTGCAGCTCACAATCACTTATAATTCTAATCCAGGGTATCCAATGCCTTCTTCTGACCTCCACAGGTATTTACATGCTCATGACGCAGACACACATGAAAACAAAACACTTATACAGACAAAATAAAAATACATTTTTAAAATAAAAAGCACCAACATAGATTTTGATAAATGTATTTTAAATAATGAATATAAAGATGTATATATACATACATATCCAATTAGATATGTACACACATATATTTGAGGGTTAAAGGAATGAGGACATAAACAAAAGATAAAGAAAGCTGCAGAAGTGACATATGCTGGTTGCCTGATGACAAGGAATTCTATTTCTAGAGATTAAGTCTAAAAATGCACATACAACATTACAGATATAAATATTTATTTATATTTTATCCAAAATGAGATAATGTTTCAAATAACAAAATCTATGACTAGAAGACTTGTTGAATAAACTGGATGAATCTGTTTTATAGAAACCCAAACCCACACACAAAACCATGGGAGGGCTTAGAGAACAATTCATCTAAGTAATTCTAGCACTTAGGAGATAGATGCTCCAGGATGGAGAATGGGAGGTCTTTTTGGGATAAAGAATGAGTTCAAAGTTAGCCTGAACAAAACCCAATCTTAAAAACTGGGAGTGTAGCTTAATGGCACTTGTCTAGCCATGTATAAAGCCAAAAGTTTCAATCTCCTGCAGAGCAACAAAACCCCAAACATAAAGGAACCAAGTGTGTAGACTATTTTCTAGGATATCTTGTGAAACTAGAAAAGGTTTAAGAGAAAGAAAACTCAGAAGTAAAAACATCCTGGGGAAGCTTCCAGACACTGACTGTGTCAATGTTTCCTAAGGAATTACAACAACACAAGTCAAATAAAACCAAAGTAAATAACTATGACTACAGCAAACTTGAGACCTACTACACAGCAAAAGGAGCAATCAATGCAGTAAAAGTGCAGCTGAACATCTGACGAGAGGTCTGTATCAAGAACACCTAAGAAACGTCTACAACACCTCAGTGACAAACACCTTGACTGAAACATGGCCAAAGGTATGGAACACCTGTGCTTTTAGTTACCCAAATGGCCAATAAGCACATGAAGACGCTCAAAAGCGATACTCATCTGTGAAATGAAAAATCAAGAGCACAATCAAAAGATATTTAACAGTGTCTTGAATGTCACTAAGAAAAGAGTAGAAAATAAGTGTTGTTGGGATTGTGGGTAAATTACTCTGGTGCTGTGGACAAATAGAACACAAAACATGAAATGTCCACGCACGGACATCTCAGATACTAGATAGTAGGCAGGGTAAGCCTGTGACCTCTGACAGAAGGGAGATAAGAGGACCCTGATGGGTCTGAACACCTACTTATGCCCTGGCTCAGGGAACAAGAAGCCTGGCACCCGCACTGAAATTAGTGCATACCAAAAAGCACTGAAAGATATACAGGAAAACAAATTGTGAAAAATTAAACAATGATCTAAAATTTATAGTGACTCTTAAAATTCTGGGTACATATATCCTGTGCATGTTTCAGCAATAAAAGAAATAAGGAATCCACATAAACGCTCTTGAATAAAAAATATGAACATAAGCAGGGTGGTACATGTCTGTGTAATCCTAGCATTTAAAGTACAAGCGAGAAGATTGGGAATCATCTTTGGCTGCACAGTCTGTAGTTAGAAAGCAGTGGTTTTCAACCTGTGGGTCATAACCCATTTGGGGTTTAAATAACCCTTTCATAGGGTTTGTATATCAGATAATCTGCAAATCAGATATTTATATGACAATGCATAACCACAGCAAAATTATATTTATGACGAAGTGACAAAAATAAATTTATGGTAGGAGATCATCACAGCATGAGGGACTTTATTCAAGGGTGTCAGCTTTAGGAAAGTTGAGAACCACTGTGCTAGAGGACACAGAATGTGGGAGATTAATTTCTCCAACTATGTAGCCTTTGGGAAGCTGTCATCTACACTGAGTGAGACTTTTCAGTGACACTTCCACAAGTAACCCTCAGCCATGCTCTTACAAGCAAGCCCCATAAACTCATTGGTTTATCAAACTGTATTTTGATGAAATCATTACTTCTATCTGTCATTGCTCTCCTATCTGGGTGAACAGATCATTATGTCTCCCAAGAAAGGTAGCACAACAAAGACACATAGTTTGAATGCAATCTCAGCCAATGCCTCAGTAGGATATAAGGGAATTAAAGGCTTGATTCCATAACCAAACAAATATGGGAAAGGAGTTCGATAGGCAATAGACAGGAAGTTTATCACTCTGAGAGATATCAGCGATGCTAAAGCCTAAATTCTTCAATTATAAAATGTAAGATCTTATGGATATTATAAGAATCAGAAATGCCTAACTAGTCATTATTGGTATAAATACCTGAATTTGTTTAATTTGACTTAAATAAAAATTGAAACAGTAAAATATTCCTAGAAAACACCCAGGAGAGGCATTAATTGCAACGAAGTTATCAAAAATGGCTTTTGAAGATGTATGACATCATTATTTTCTGTAACAGATACACCGAATCTTTGGAACTGACAAGAACGGACTTCAAAGAAAGGCACATAGCAGAGCGCACAGTGTGTTTTATAAATCAAGAAATCCCATTTCTTAAGAAATTAGTTCCAACCAAAAAAATACTAATTTTTCTAATAGTAGCTTGTGGGCACTGCCAAACTCCCACAGCCTCAGGCCCAGACAGATTATCAGCAATTCACCCATTATGTGACCTTGAAATGTGAGTACTGTTTTTTAATCACAAAACTAGCAAATAAATTTGTCTTTGCAAGGTACCCGTGAAGTCACCAGAAGGAATGTTGCGGTCTAACACTAAAGGGAAGATCTGGGGGAGCAGCTCTTGCTGTGTCTGACAGATATCATTGGGCTGCCATTGAAAAAAGTAACCCATGCTGTGGAAGGGACCTCATTGTTGCAGCAGGGTGACATGGTGTGGGTTTGCTACAGGATCATAGGGGGCCTACAAGGGCACAGATTGGGAAACAAGAGCACATGTTAGCCAAAACTAATAAAAAAGGTAACCAAAGGAATATCAGAAGTGTAATAACAGAGCAACTATATAGGACGGATAATCAAGCGGGAAATATTGGCTTAGGCAGGATAATTAACTGTCACTTGACGAAGTGTAGGCACAGTCTATAGATACAACAAAGCACACAGAGGTTTCTCACCAATAAGTAAGATTGTCAAACTTAATACCTACTAATACAAGGAACCACACAGAGTAAATTTACAACCGAATTTAAATAGTTGCTGAATAAATGGCATATTAAGTTACACATTAAGAGTCTTCTACAACATAGCCAAAGATTTCTATTAATATTAACTTCACCTTTCAGGTGAATTCTCTTTTCATCCAATTGCAATATTTAGGAAAATATAACTGTCAATGATGCCTGAGAGCCATAACTTTTAAGATAATGCCATATGCTTTAATTTAATTCATAATTAAATGATGAAGAATGGCACCTAGATACTAAACTAATAGTTGAAAAGTAAGTCATCTCCTAACAACTTTTAACTTTTCATCAACCATTGCATAAACTTTTGGCAAGTTATTATTTCCTCTCCAGCACATACCACTCACACTGAACAAACCCTGTGCTGATGTGTTTTGCATGAAAGCCTCAAGCAGAATACAGAAAACAGAAGGGAAAGCTCCCTCATCTCCATAGCACTGAAGAATCAAAGAAAAAGGAAGAGATAGGAGATACAGTGGAACAAAAAAGCTAAAACTCTGTATTCCAGGAAGGATTTTGATAGTTTTTTAATACAAAATTGTAACCCTTTACAGCCCTTTACAGTTAAATGATGGTTTAAAAATAATAATTTGTTTTTTTGTTTTATTTAAATAGGGTGTTCCTACATAGCCCAAATCAAGCCCAGAACTGACTATATATAGCCCAGGGTGGTCTCAAATGAACAAAATCCTCCTGCCTCAGTCTTTTGAGAGTTGGAATGATAAATACGTATCCTGGCTTGACAGTACATTTTATGAAGGTAAACTCAAGCAATTTCAAATGAAAGGAGCTGATAGGCACCAATAAGTGTACCAAAACTTAAAGAAATTTTAATTCTATACCTATTCCTCATAATTTAAAAATAATTATTAAAATCAGAATTTCCTTCATATATATTCAAATATGTTTTTCAGATAACTTAAGAAAAATTAGCTAAAATTAAATATCAAAGACTTGCCTAACAATGCTGGGCTTTTTTTTGGGGGGGGGGAATGATTACTTAGAACAAAAGTTGTGAGCTAAATTAATGAGCATTTGGAAGGGGTTGGCCCTTGATGGCAGAACATTTCTTAGTGTGTCATCAGGCCTCCAGCTCAATATCCAGGATCACAAGAAACAAAATAAGAATTAAAATTTTGAATACTTAGTGTGTGCAGTGTGTCAATAGTGATTTGTGTATTATTTTACCTCCTAAACCCTAAACATAAGGTCCCCAGACTTATTCTGTTCTCTATGTGAAGACTTGGACAGGGGAGGATGACAGCAAGCATGACCGACTTCAGAATGTGTCCCTTCAACCATCACCCTTGGTACAGAGCAGTGGTTCTCAACCTGCCTAAGGCTGTGACCCTTTAATACAGTTCCTGAGGTTGTGGTGACCCCAACCAGAAAATTATTTTCATTGTTACTTAAGAACTGTAAATTTGCTACTATTATGAATCATGACGTAAGTATCTGTGTATTCCAATGGTCTGACGTAACTCCTGTGAAATGGTTGTTTGACCCACACAAGGGTTGAGTTGCACAGGTTGAGAATCACTGACATAGAGTGAGGGGAAGGTGAGGAAAACATGGTAGGGTTGGAGAGAAAGTGGTTAGAAGCACGTACTGCTCTCTCAGAGGACACAAGTTAGGTTCCCAACACTCACATCAGACAGGTCACAACCACATTTAAATCCAAGTCCATGGGATCTGACACCATTGGCCCCTGCAGACACCTGCACTCATGTGCATATACCCACCTACAGATAAATGAAAATAATAAAAGGTGAAAGATGTACATAATCTAAAGAGAAGAGGAGTCAGAGGGGTCTAGGACACCACGAGAACATGGTCCACAAAAATCAACTAAGCAGGGCTGATGGAGACTCCCAGAGCCTACAGGTCCACCTGAGATCATCTACAAATATGCTATAGTGGTGTAGCTTGCTGTTCTTGTGAGACTCAGAACAATGAGAGTGTGTGTGTTGGGGGGGGGGTGTCTGACTTTTCCCTGCTCTTGGAACTCTTTTCTTTCATCACTCAGCCTGGATATGAGGGTTTGTGTCTGGCCTTACTGTCACTTGTTATGCCGTGCTGAGATCCCTGAAAGACATGCTCTTTTCTGAAGGGAAATGGAGGAGGAACGGAACTGAGGGAAGGAAGAGATGGCAGTAGGGGGACTGGGAGTAGTGGAGGGAGAGGAAGCTACAGTCCAGAAGTAATGTATGAGAGAAGATTAAAAAACAAAAGTATTTTTTGTTGTTGTTTTGATTCTTCAAGACAGGGTTTCGAGACAGGCTGGCCTCGAACTCACAGAGATCTGCCTGCCTCTGCCTCCAGAATGTGTTACCACCAGCTGGCTTTATTTGGGGGGAGGGAGGTAAAAAATTTTTAAAAAGAAAAGCACCATGGAAGAGTGCTATCAGACAGAGTGCACAACAGGCTTAGAAAGGAGTAATTATATGACTTTGCACAGGTAACTCACTCTCTAGCCGTTATTGTCCTTAACCACAGGCCACATAAAATTACAATGATGTTCTAGGGCTCTATCATAGCTATACAAAATACAGGAAGATATACTATATGAAAGATCAATCACCATAAAATTTGATGATAGCAAACTGAAACTATGTTAGTGGGAACAGTTGATGAGCAAACCTTCAGAGAAAACTAAGTGGTCCTTTGAAGTAAAGATGTCACTAAGATGCATCTGCCCAGAAATCCTAGAAAATCTGAGGAAGCAGGTAACTAACAACCAAGGAACAAGAAAAGCACTGAGACACATCTTCCTTCTCCTTTACTATCTTTAGCGCGCACTTTATGAAAGCAAAAACCCCAAGGCAGTAAACATCTGCTCCTCAACACGTATCAGCAGCAACATCAGAAACACGAGGCAAAGGTCAAGTCAAAGTTTATTGACGAAGATGAACTGTGACAGCCTCTATTAAATTACCCTTCCTTCAAGGTGTATGTGATCAAAGCAGCAAAGATACTTTCACTCAGTCGCATAACAAGCTATTTGTTGAGACTGAAACATCTGGCCACTATCTTCAAACACTGCAATTTCATGCACAGTTAGCATTAGGGCACATTTCTCCTCTTCCTACAGGGTCCATAAGAGCAGCACATACGGCTGATCATTTCATTCAAAAAGGAACTCAATTCAAGGCATTACACACAATCGCCTGCGCTTTATGGTGTTTTAAGTCTACCTGCCACCGTTTTCCGTCATCACTGCTGACTGCTGCTCCCTTCCACTCTAAAAGCCTGTACATATGACAGAGCACTTAAAGGTTAGCGGCTTTCCTGAACAAGGAAATCTATACAGTACCAAGTCATTTTCTATTATCAAGAACACACAATATATTAAACTATTCATCATTTTATTTAACAAATAGCTAGTATAGATTAGTAAAGTAACATTTTTAAATACTGCCTGTGTGTAGCATGCATGTGTGAACATGGTTGTATGGTGGTTTTCCACATGTGTACACATGTGGAGGCTAGAACTTGAGTGTCTTCCTCTATTGCTCTCTACTTTATTTTTTGAGACAGGTTCTCTCACTAAACCTGGAGTTTGCCATTTCAGCTAAAATAGCAATTGAGCTGTTAGAAATCACTTGTTTCAAGCACTCTAGTCTCCACTGGGATACAGAAGCATGCTGCCTGACTTGTATGTGGGTGCTGGGACCCTAAGTCAGGTTTGAATGCTTCTATACCAAACACTACACCCACTGAACCATCTCCCCCAAACAGAAATCAATTCAAATATGTGACTTTGGTAACAGTATACTTATGAGGGTATATAATTGTCAAGTAAAATAAATAATACCAAAACAGTACATAGATATTTAAATTGATTTTAGGGCTGATGAGACGGCTCAGCGTGTAAAGGTGCTTAGCTACCAAGCCGGATGATCTGAGTTTAAGCCCTGGGATATACAACAGGGAGAAACAAAGTCCTACAAGATGTCATCCGACCTCCTCACATAAGGCATGGCACAAATGTGCCCACATGCAGAAATGAAAATTTTTTTAAAATTAATTTTAGTGGGGATGGTCAGAATATTTTAAGTTGATAAAGAATAATCCTGTACTAGAAAGAATCAGGATGCCACAATTTTATCAATCACATATGCTGAGAATTTTCCACTTGAAAGTCATGCATTTGTTGCCATGGTAGCAGAGTTCTTTCTAGAGTATTTACAGTAGTCAACCTGAACTCACACCATATATTCCTCTGGGGTTATAGCTTCAGGGATAACTGGGGTGGGAATGGGGCTCATGCAAAGCTTCTATTTCACATTTCCCTGACAAGTTTCCTCACAGCATGACTAAGGAGAGCTATTTTAGAAAATTTAGGGATTTGTGTTCCTAGTCAATAACAGTAGACAGGGTTTGAATGAACAAATATTCTTGTAGTAAATGTCACTCATGATCATTTGACTACAGTAATATAATGACTAGTAAAGAAAAGAGAATATCAGATTCACAAGGTTGGACTGACATTCAAGTAAGAGAGAATGTCCTGAACTGCAACAGTGAACACAATGTAGATACTTTGTTTGTACATTTTTTCATTAAGTCAGTCAGTCAATTCAATCTGATGACATTTATAGGATATGTTCTAGGGTTAGGCACCGTGTTGTCATAGGAACACACACTATGAAGTCACTTTCTTATGTCATGGAGATTCTAAATATCTGTAAAAGCAAAGAAACAAGAAAATAGATACGTCAGGCTTGGTGATGCATGCCTGGTGGCCACAGTACTTAGGACATCAGCTTGGCAGCGAAACCTGAGGGCCTGAGTTTAAGCCCTGAGACTCAAACAGGAAAAATTTCACTTCTCCAAGTTATCCTATGTCTGCTACACAAGTACCATGACATGTAAGTAACCACCCCCACTTTGGGAGCCCACAAAAGTGGATCTGTACCACCTTGACTAAAGGTCAGGAGTTTAAGACTATTCTCACTCCTTCAAGGTTATTGACTGGAGATTTGACTTAAGGTATGGCTACTAATAGGATATCTTGATAGCTAGGGAATGGTTACTTGGTGTTTTGGGTATTAAGATGGTAATCACTTAGTTTATTCCTTATATCATGATAAAAAAGTCTTTTGCTTTCTTCCCCCTTTTTGGATTGGGATATTTAAAGATCATAATACATTCAGTACTCACTGGACTGCCCTACTGGTACTATCCTATGTATCTGTATCTCTTATATCTGTTTATTCTGCCTAGCACTTTTAATCCACACGCCCCTACCCTGGAACCTATGAACCCATCGAGGCTGGACCCCGACAGATGTCGTCCCAACATGTGGCTACAATACCACCATACACACATAAATAAATGTAAAACAAACAAAACAAAACACAAACCCTATCAATTACAAAAATGGGTAAAGATTACCAAGTAGAAAAACTAACAGCTAAGGAAAATGCAGGAGAGGGACCAAGAAAGGTAAGGTAGGCATAAAATATGTAAATATGTAGATAAGAGAATCAGAGTAAATTTAAGGAACTTCCTGAACCAAAAGAGACAGTGCTCTTCTTCTTTCTTCAATGTTAGATAAGACTTTCACATTAATATAACGGAACAGCAGTACAGCTAATAAAAGGCAAAAATGAAATTAAAAAAAAAAGAAAACAGGTTCTAGATTACGTAGGTCTTGGTATAGTAAGGATGTAAATTTTATTCAGACTGTAATAGGATATTGAATGATTGTCAAATGTAAGCATTTCTTTTGCTATTTCATATAACAGGATCAAGGAAGGGTGTTAGTCACAGTGCACATCTAGTTCAATGGGAAAGTTTTATTTGAGCTTCAACTGCTTTTCCTAATCCCACTGCTACTGTCCATCACAACAGTTTCCTAATCTCCTTGCTATCAGTTCTAGGTACATACAAATATCACCATCATTTAAACACATGAGAGCACATCATTCATCTGCTCAAAACTCTGAAATGCTGCCCACTCAGAAAGAGGCAAAGTCTAAGAGGCTCTTCTGGCACTCAAAGTCACTGGGACTGCCTCTTAGCCTCAACTTGGTCTCCTAATAAGAATATTTCATTGCAACCACACTGAACTGAGGGGTTTGAAGCTTGGCAAGTACACTCCTTTAGCAAGCATTGTCCCTTTCCTGGATAGGATCAGTGGATACAGTGATCCTATCTTTACTTTAAACTCTATTTAGATCATACCTCCTCAATGAAATATTATCTTATAAAGTGTTCCCTTTAGTTCAATATTCCCATGCTTTTTTTCCCCTACTTTTTGTCCTTATTCCTTATCATTTTAAAATTAACAGAACTGATAGATGACTGAGCAATTAAGTATGACTGATAGAAAATCAGGTGTTTGAATTCTAGCATTCAACAAGCTGGCTGTCCTGAACATGGTGGTAACTCCAGCTCTGAGGGATCCAACACCTTCTTTTGGCCTCTACACTCAACCACATACACAGATAGGCAAATAAATAAATGAATGAATAATTGTTTGCATTTAATTGGTATTTGTGTGTTCATATAGTGTCATGCAAAGTGTGGAAGTTAGAGGACAACTTGCAGTCTGTCCCCTCCTTGCCTCCCACTGGCACTTACAGCCTTCTAATCTACTTCTGTTTACAACCATTATCTTATCTTCTCCCCTAACAAAATATGAGGCTCATTAAATCAGGAACTTGTAAAAGGCCCCCATAATCTCACAGGGAGTGGCACAACTAGGAGGTGTGCCTTTGTGGGAATGAGTATGGCCTTGCTGGAGGAAGTGTGTCACTATGGGGGCAGGCTCTGAGGTTTCCTATGCTCAGCATACTGCCCCAGTGCCTCAGTCGAATTCTTATTGCCACACCCAATAAACAGTTTCTTTAGAAGAGTTGTGGTCATGGTATATTTTCACAGCAACAGAACCCTAGCTAGGACAGTTTAAAGACTGAGTCACATATAGTCCATACTGGCACTAAAAACACCATGAAGTGACTATGCACTTCCGATCTTCCTGTCTCTACTATCCAAGAGCTAAGAATACAAGTGTGTCCCAGGAATAAGTGAATGCTAGAAAACTGGAAAAATGGGCCCTGGTTACTTAGTTTTTAAACATAAATGAAAACACATGGGACTCTTTCAATTTTTTCATCACATTTATTTACTTACCTATTATGTACATGTATGTGTGGTGGTTTTGTATGCCGTAGCATATGTGTGGAGGTCAGAGAAATAAAATCTCTCCTATTATGTAGGTCCCAGAGAACAAATTCAGGCTATCAAGCTCTACAGTGCATGCCTAAATCTGCTAGCCCATGGAGTTCTTTTAGGAAAAAAATAAAATAAAAAGATCTATGTGCAGAAATTTGAAGGAGAAGTTGATACTTCAGTTATTGTATCTTAAAATCAAAACATTACTAGGCATCCAATGTGGAACCAGATTTTTGATCCAATAATATCTATTAAGATCATATTATATCTAAAACATACCTGTGAGGGAATAAGCATGATAAAAGTCTTGACAGGACTACGGCACCACAAGAAAGGCACAGTCATAAGATTCTGAAAACAGCAAGGAGTTCTACAAGTGTCAAAGAGAAATGATAGATAGGCTGATTCTTGAAGAACAAAGATTTTACCAAGTTGCAAAAAAGAAAAATAAACTGAGGTGAATTATGTTCAGAGACCTTTCTATCTTCAAAACCACACAGGAATACTCTTGTCACAGCTTACATAAGAAATGAGTGAACACCAGGTCCTTCAGAGAGTATTTGTGAAGGACTGATGCATGCCACTGACAAGCAGGCTGCAATCTGGGGCTTATATAACAATTCTGTATTTCTGAAGGGTAACTTATGACAATACACAGAATCTTGAAACAATGAGGGCAGATAATTCTACAGGTCTCTTAAAGTTCTTCAGTACTTATAAGCAAATCTGGCCTGAACTGTCTTAAGATTTAAGCGTAGCAAGAAGTCTTAAAAGACAAAGATAGTGTTTTCATTAAGAGAAGGGGTTGGGATAATTTAAAAATATGGTCATAAGGAGGCTTGACGCTGGGCGTATGCAGAGTCAGGATTCCCCAGTGTAACTAAAGCCTACGACGAGCACAGCCTGTACGAGATGAATCAGTGGAACACATGACAAAGTTGTACCCAAACTAAAAAAAAAATCCTAATTTGTCACCTTGCAAAATGCAGGGTAAAATTCTAACTACTTCCTTAAGAAAGAGGTCAAGAAAGAACAAAGGAAGACAATCCTAAAGGAGTTGCTATTACAGAAAAGAACCCAACCATAACGTAGCCCAGGAAGCCAGGAAACAGAAGGGAAAAAATTACGGAGGCAGAACTGACAAGTCCTGGGACTGAGCAGGTGAGGAAGGGAAAGTGCAGGTTGAAGGAAACTTTAATCTCTCTAACAGATGACTGATGGACAGTTCTATATGGGGAAATGTAATGTAGAAGCAAGAGCAGTACACTGAAGAACACAGGGAAAGCTGAGGGGAGTTCAATGATAAAGGGATTCATGTAGACAAAACTGCTCGAAACCTGGAAAGGTTGTGGAGCCAGACAAAACTCAGAGGGGAAAAGACAACCAACCCACAGGGTAACAGCGAATTTCAAAGAGGGGTCTCTAGAGCAGGCTGGTGACTTGCCAGGGTACTCCATGGGCAATCGTACGTCCACAAGACGGCCATGGATTCACATTAACACATTCATTTTGCAAGAGGCAGTAAAATTCATAGAGGTTCATTAAACATTGACCCTCAAATGCACATTCACAGTGGCAAATGGAAAGTACAGGTGAAGGGCAAGAGTTTCCAAAGGAAAAAAACTCAGCTTAGTTTTTTTTTTCCACACAAGTAGAAGCTTTTCACAGAGAACTATTTCTGTTTGAAATAATGGCTGGCAGGCAAATGATAGCTGTTGGGACTTACACGTTTGGCAGACATTTTCTTAGAAAAGAAAAAAGTAAGCCTGACACTTAAAAAATACTGTCAAGGATATTGCTAATAATAAAATATGAGCTTTCATTTCAAAATTATAATCAGGTAAAAGCCATATCCACCATAATGAGATTCTCAATACCTTAAGACTATATTCTTGAGATTGGTAGTGGTATTGACAATGGTGCCAAGATAGGCATAATTTAATGAATAAAAATAATCTACAAATGACCAATGCATATGGTAAGGAAAAAAACATAGATGTAAAACCTAACTATATGTATTAGATATATCTAAATTCATAAATTTAAAGCTTTCATGAGCTACAGTTTACATAACCACCTATTTAAAGTGAACAGTTCAGCAGGGTTTAAATAACCATGTTGTGCAGGAATCACATTAATTTTAGATGTTGCAAATACCACAACACCTGCAAAAACAAAACATAAACCAGCAAATGAGTTGGTTCCATCATTTCCGTATTACGAATAGTGCTGCTATAACATGTGTGCAGGCAGAGGCAAACCTATTTTCTTCAATCAAGTGTCACTGGATATACGAACCACACTCCTGGGCTGCACCCATGCTCAGAAGTTCACCAACACAAAATGGACTCGGTATTTTCTGTGGTTTGTTGTTTGTTTAAGGTTTGGTGGGTATTTTTGTTTTCTTATATTTTGAGAGAGACAAAGAATATAAATGTGGGTTCCAAGGGAAAGGAATACCTGGGAGAAGAAAGATTATTCAAAATATATAAAAACTAAAAAATTAAATTGTGTATATTTTTTAACTTTCATTTTCCTTAAAGGTATTCGTAGTTCAGTGCTAGATAACTTGGCAACTCCTAACATTCAAGCTACACTTTGTAACAAACATTCTCAACAGCCGAGCATGAATGCATCCATTTATGCATAAGGTGTTTAAACTTGCTGTCATTCCGATAATAGCCACAATACACAGGTATACAAAGCTACCAAATCATGGATGACTTTAATTTCCTTGATAGTCAGTGATGCAGCCCATCCTTCCATGAACTGGTATATCTTCTTGGAAAGAAAAATCCATTGAAAGCCTTTGGCTGCTTTAAAATTGAGTTGTCATTTCACTGAGTTTTAATAAGTTTCCACATATTCAAGACAAGATATACTGTACAGAAAGCATTTAAAATTTAAATTGTTCTTTAAGCGTGCGTGTGCGTGTGTGTGCTGATGGCTAAACTCACGGCTTCCTGTACACCAGGCAGACTCTCTAAACACAACTACAACTGACAGATAGAAGGAATCCTTTCAAGCACAAAATTTCACATTTGTTATTTTATTCTTTTAATCATTATATCTAAGGGTTTTTTGTTGTTATTGCCAAACTCGAGAGAAAATAGACATTTGCTAAATGGCAGCAAACTATGAAAATATTTACCTGATACTTATCAAACAACTCTGCTTAATTATAAATTAAAAACAGCACTGTCATTCATGCCTAAATATTCATCCCACATATTCACTTTGTAAGGGACTTCCAGTCATCTAGCTCTTAAGAGCACTGAACAGCATTATCAACAGAATGCCTGGGAAATATTTTAAGCGGAAAAATCAGCATCAAAGACCATCGAAATACAAAAACATGGCATCAAAACACAACATGGAAAAAACATTTCTTTATGATAGCTGAAACAGGCAATCAAAGTGCATCACCAGTTTTTGAACACTGAAATAAAACAACTAAGGTCTTCCGTTGCTCTGAATGTTTGTAAATCATTGCAAAAAAAACCCCCATGGATTTATAACTAGACTAGAATTAACTACACATACACAGCATGGTCGCTGGCAAACTTCTAAGTAGGAGTTTGTAAGCATTTCAAAAATGGGGGAAACCAAACAAAACTCCTATATTTTCAGTGGATTTATGGAACTCCTAAAGTCCATTCCAACCAATGGTCCATGAACTACAGTTTAAAATCGCCACGATGGGCTGGGAGTACACCACAGTTGCACAAGAATTAGGTCACGTGTTTGGAGCCCAGAATTCCTAGTGGATGTCAAGTCTGAAGGGAGAAGAGAACGGGAAAAGACCCTCCTGCCAGGCAAGCAGTTTTCTGTTCGATTGTTCAGCATCATGGAATGACAAACAAGTAATGTTTAAACAAAACTGTGAACATAGTAAATGTCACTGAAATGTATAGTCCACAATGGCGAATTTCATGTGTAAAAGAAAGCCAAGATTGTTTTTATCCTAAATAGCATATACTACATACTATCTAGAAAAGTCTAACGAGAGTAATACAACAAACTTTGTATTTGAGAAGATTTTCAGCACGGGTTGTAGGGGAGTGTGATTGGCTGTTGGAAATATAACGGAAAAGTGTTCTTTAAAAACAAAACATAAGTGAGTACATTGGAACAGGGGTATAAAAGAGTGTCAAAGGAGGGTTACTGGAAGTGGTGATGCCTGAGATAGTTCTACACCACTCCTGGGGAGATAAGACGAGGACGACACAAGTCCTATCTGTAGCACTCCAGCTACTCACGGGGAAACAAGGACACAAAAATGTGATGGCTTTCCGTAAGGGTTTAAGGAGTAGGAAGAGACACCCTGGAAGTCATGGAAAAGAATCAAGGTGAGTTAGGAAAGGAGGAAATGCCTGAGGGAGAGGTATCACAGTAGATACTCAAGAGAGAAGAGGTTTCAATATGGTAGCGGGGTCCATCTGATTGATGCTCCACATAACTTAGATGAGGAAAGACAGAAAGTCAGTAGCTCTGGCATCTGAAAGGTCAGAGGTGGTTCCACAAGTGGGCTTCAGGATGGAGTGAGAGCATTAGAGCAGACAACACACAAGGAAGAGTGAGTCACATATTCAAAAAAATCAGCTAAAGGGAGGGAAAAAACAGATTAAGAGATGCAGGAGAGGTATTTTCTTGTTTTGTGGTGATTTGGGAGGATATTTATAGCAAGGTAGAGAAGATAAGTTGAGAGGACTTAAAGAATGAGAAAAATCACAGATGACAGTTCAGATGATAAGGAAAATATATACTTCTATAACACAAATAGTGACAAGACAGCCCAATTGCGAATGTAACTAAGTGTAACTATATGCTAAGTATACTGTTAACGACTCAGTGATTGCTTACTCAGAGGAATAGAGAGGTTGTCTACTGTGAGAAGGATAGAATCTGAGCAGGAATAAATTATGATAGCAAATTCTGAAGAAAATAAGGAAAGGAGGCTGATACTAAGGTTTGAAAATGATTCTTAAAGGCACATATGCCACCAGTGTTTGGCACTGTTGTGAGGTGGCAGAATCTTTAGTAGAGAAGACCTAGAGGAAGGGTCATAGGAGGGCCCCACCTCTTCCTCTACGTGTCCCAGCCTTCAGTTTTTGTATTCTTGTCCTAAGCTCTGACCATGAGACACTGTGCAATAAGACCACAGACAGAAACCTGAAAAACCAGGATACTAATTTTTCCTTCTTTTCATTTTCTCAGGAATTTCATAACCTGAAAAGAATACTGAGGATTGTTTTAGAATGGAAAACATTATTTTACTCCTGTTATATATATGACAGCATACAACGTAGCTCGAAGATTTAAACAGTTTCCTATCTCCTGTCATGAGAAAACGTTTATGTGTATATGGAGAGGTTTCCATTACACAAGAAGAATCCTGATAAAGGAAACATTCAAGTATTTTTCTGAACACAAACTTCTTCATGCAATATTTGAATGTACCTCTGACAACAGACCTGGAAATAAATAAATGAACTGTAGTTTTGAACTGGGTACATATAAAAGTCTATACTAGTACACAAATAAGGACTTCCCCATAAATGTTCCAAAATCACATAGGGAGTAACTTGAAATAAGAACTTAGAGATTTTGGGTATGCCTGTGCATATATTTAATCCCAGTACATATGAGGCAAAAGCAGGTGGATCTCTGTGAGTTCGAGGCCAGCCTGGTCTAAGTGAGTCTCAGGATAGGCAGGGCATCCTGCCTATTACACAGAGAAATCTTGTCTTGAAAAAATAAAACAAACGAACAAAAGCAAAACAAAAAAACCCCCAAATTTACAAATATAAAGCAATTACATAGTAGTTAATAATAACTACCCTCTAATTATATACACATTGTGAGATAAATATAGAATTGGTTTTTGAACTTTTCAATTATAAATACATTGTGAACTGAGTCCAATATTTTACCTTACATTACAATGTCAAATATTGAGAAAAATGTCCCGCAATAATTTCACTGATTAGTAGTTAATTGTCAACTTGACCCAATTTAGACTCACTTTGGAAATAGGTCTCTGTGTGTGCCTGTAGTGGACTGTCTTGACTCTATTAGCTGATGTGGGAAAAGACGGGGGAGGAGCAGGCATCCATCTCTGTTTTCCATGTGGATGTGGTGCAAGCACAGCTTGGAGCTCCTGCTGCCTTTCCTCTCCGCCATGATGGACTGTGCCCTAAACTGTGAGCTAAAACAGCCTTTGCGTGACTTGGTTCCATCAAAGTTTTATCACAGCAACAGGAAAAGGGACTAAAGACAACAAAGTGGATGCTTTTAAACAAGATTACTTTTATTAGAATCATTGTAATCAAATATACCTGTGTATTATACAAAGTTTGAATGAAAGAGTTTCACCATTAGACTGCCTGTCTCTGCCTATGAGTACTTTAATTTAACCTGCCAGGATAGGAATCAAAATCATGGACATGCAAATGGAATAAAGAATATGTATAGGGTTATAGCAAATACTAGTCATTATCATACTTTCTACTAATTTTACCTATGTAAGATAGGGAACATTGAAAGAAATGCAGATTTACAAATGTAGGTTTCAAATTGCAGAAACCATGGGTGTCTGCTATTTAACCAACCCTATTTGTAATCGATGGGATCAAGCCATTCACACTATGTTCCACTCATTAACTCTATCTTCACTGACAGAAGGACATAGGAATTCTAGATTAGAGATAAAGACAATTTATTATTCGTAGCACAGGAAGACCAAAAGCAATTATCTTTGGGATCATTCCCTGAGCTCAAATCCAATTGGGGCAAAGCAGTAAGAAATAGATTTTACCAGCACACACTGTGGACCACGTTTTCTTTCTTTCTTTCTTCCATTAATGTATTTGTTTGTTTGTTTGTTTGTTTATTGCTCTTTGGAAGCCCTCCACCCAGTTCCCAAATAAATACACAGAGATTTATTCTAATGATTGAGCATCCTTTTGATATATACCCAAAAGTCGTATTGCTTGCTGGGTGTTGAGGAAGGTTGTTTCCTAATTTTCTGAGAAGTGGCCACACTGACATCCAAAGGGGCTGTACCAGCTTGCATTTCCACCAGCAATGCAGAAGTGTTCCCTTTTACCCACAACCTCTCCATGTAAGTTTTGACCAGTGTTTTTATCTTGGAAATTCTTACAGGTGTAAGATGGAATCTCAGAGTTGTTTTGATTTGCATTTCTCTGATGACTAAGGATGTTGAACATTTCCTTAAGTGTCTTTCAGCCATTTTAGATTCCTCTGTTGAAAGGTCGCTGTTTAGGTCTGGACTTCATTTTTTTCTTGGATTATTTGTTCTTTTGATGAGCAATTTCTTCAGCTCTTTGTATATTTTGGAGATCAGACCTCTGTCTGATGTGGGGTTAGTGCAGATCTTTTCCCATTCTGTAGGGAGCCATATTGCCTGTTGACTGTATCAATCGCTTTACAGAAGCTTTTCAGTTCTTGTCATACACGCCTTCCACTTATTTGGTAAGAGTTACTCTGGGATATTTTATGCTATTTGTGGTGATGTTTCTCTGATTTCTTTCTCAGCCCATTTATCATCTGTGTACAGGAGGGCTACTGAGTTTTTTGATTTAATCTTGTATCTTGCTACACTACTGAAAGTATTAATGAGTTGTAGAAGTTTCTTGGCAGAATTTTTGGGGTTGCTTATGTAAACTACCATATCATTAGCAAATAGTGAGAGTTTGACTTCTTCTTTTCCGATTTATATCCCCTTGATCTCCTTTTGCTGTCTTATTGCTCTAGTTAGGACCTCAAGAACTATATTGAATATATATGGAGAGAATGGATAACCTTGTCTTGTTCCTGATTTCAGTGGGGTCGCTGGAGGTTTCTCTCCATTTAGTTTGGTATTAGCTGTTGGTTTGCTGTATATTGCCTTTATTATGTTTAGGTATATTCCTTGTATCCCATCTCTCTCCAGACTTTTATCAGGAAGGGAAATTATATTTTGTCATAAGATTATTCGGCATCAAATGAGATGATCATGTGGTTTTTATTATTCAATTTGTTTATATGGTGGATTATGGTGACAGATTATCATATGTTGAACCATCCCTGTATCTCTGGGATGAAGCCCACTCTTCATGGTGGATGATGGTTCTGATGTGCTCTTGGATTCCATTTGCCAGTATTTTATTGAGTATTTTTGCAAGAATGTTTATGAGTGAGAGTGGTCTGTAATTCTCTTTCTTAGTATTGTCTTTCTGTGGTTTGGGTATCAGGGTAATTATAGCCTCATAAAAAGAGTTTGGCAATGTTCCTTCTGTTTCTGTTGTGTGTAATAATTTGAGGAGTATTGGTATTAGTTCTTCTTTGAAAATCTTGTAGAATTCTGAGCTGAAACCATCTGGTCCTGGGCTTTTTTTGGCTGGGAGACTGTTTCTATTTCTTCAGCAGTCATAAGTCTGTTTAATTTGCTTATCTGGTCTTGATTTAATTTTGGTAAGTGATATTTGTCCAGAAAGTTGTCCATTTCCTTTAAGTTTTCCAATTTTGTGGAGTACAGGTTTTCAAAATATGATCAGATGATTCTCTGTATTTCCTCCGTGTCTCTTCCCATGTTTCATTTTTGACTATGTTTAATTTGGATATTCTCTCTCTGCCTTTTGGATAGTTGGATAAAGGTATGTCTATTTTGTTGATTTTTTTTTTGAAGAATCAACTCTTTGTCTCATTGATTCTTTGTATTGTTTTCTTTGTTTCTATTTTGTTGATTTCAGCTCTCACTTTAATTATTTCCTGCCATCCAGTTCTCTTAGGTGAGTTTGTTTCTTTTTGTTCTAAAGTTTTCAAATGTTCTGTTAATTTGCTAGTGTGGAATTTTTCCAGCTTCTTTATGTAGGCCATTTCGTGCCATGAACTTTCCATGTAGTTTTAGAGCCTGTCCTGGAACTAGCTCTTGTAGACCAGGCTGGCCACGAACTCACAGAGATCCAACCTGCCTCTGTCTCCCGTGCGCCACCACCGCCCAGCAATCACCAAATAATATTTTCATATTCAAAAACATTTCAAACACAGTGCAGAGGTTCCAGAATCGCCTTTACACAACCTGTGCTGGTGAGTATATATTTCACATCTATCAACCATAAAAGTCTAGGAAATTTGAACTGTCTCAGTACTAACTACGGACCTATACAAAACTCACTACAATTCATACATATTCGTATTTGTGCATGTGCACAGTTTCATGAGATCTTAACCTTTGTAGAGGTACCCACTCCCTCTCCCCATTCTCCCTAACGCAAGTATATGTGGAAGATTCTATTTAAAAACAAAACAAAAACAAAAAAACAAAAACAAAAAAACCTCCAACATTCTAGAAGTATTGTGCAATTGGGAACATACAACATCTAACCATGTGAGGCTTGCCGTTTCTCTAATCCATGTTCTGCTAAGTTACAATGATTGCTACGCAAAACTAACATAATGTCAAACTTCCTTCTAAGTATCTATACTTACAGCCGCAGGCCTAAGCAGAGAAACCTTACTAGAGAATAGCAGCAAACGCAGAGGTTTAAGTTGTTGGAAGTAAGTGTTGAGAATTAATGATGGCTGAGGGTTCAGCCATAAATAAGACATTTATACTATCCCCACTAAGATCCAGGGAACATGACATTCAATCTGAAAGATCGAAACTATGAGACCAAAAATTCAGGCTCTGAAATGATGCACTAAAGTAAATCTTTCCCCTTATAAGAAATAGATGCATGGCAACAAAAAACTGACATAAATCTAAGATCACTTTTGAAAAAAAACAGTGGTTTTGTTTTAATGAAATGAATCATACACTTCCAGGTTGATTCAGAAATCACACTCCCAGTGAAGCAGAACCCTACGTTAACAAAGAGATGCATAAACAAATGTTTATAGCAGCTTTGTCCATAATTGCTCCAAATTGGAAACAATCCAAACACTCTTCTAGAGTGCATGGAGACACAGAATAGTATATTATACATCACAATAATGGAAAACCACTCAGCTGGAAAACTAGACAAATCAAAGCTTTGTCTACTAACACAAAAACCACACAAACATGACATACATTATATCACAGGAAGGAAGCTATATTCAAAGACTATGCATTCACGATTCCAGGTTAGCTGTGACTCAGGAACCCAGGCTACAGAGAGCTGAGATGGCAGGCTTCAGAAGAGGAAATAATGACAATAAGAGTTGATGGAGTCTTTAATTCCTCACTATCATGGTAAACTAAAGAGAAAGTTCCCATCCCCCTTCTGTTTCATCTCTTCCCACTCCTCATTCAATGGCATACAGCTCAAAGGTCAGGTGGACCTGAACAGAGGTAGGAGTTAGGGCTCTGCCAAGAGACTACACAACAAAAGCTCCTGTCATTTTATGCACCTGAGAGTCTGGTAGAGTCTGGAAACGTTAGAATTTTAAGAAGAAAAATGCAAAGTCAAAATGAAGAAAAGAACCTTCAAGCTTCCTTTCCGCTCTCTCCATGTGTAAGGT